ACAACATTTGTATATTAATGTATAAATGGAAATCTGTATAGATAAACCTCGGTCAAATGCATTAAATGTACCAACCTCATCAATCACATTTGCAAAATATTGTAGAGTAGAGATCACTTCTTCATCGCCTTTTCCCAATGCAAAGTTCTACAAATCAGAATATTGAGAAAGCGGGGTTAGAGTCTTACAGAGTATTCTGAATTTTAGTCACACCCTAGCAACACCATACATGTTCAAGCAGCACTGTCACTTTGCAGGTTTTGCTTTTAAAGTAAAGGAACACACCTAGCATAACCACCACAGCACAACTTGGTGATTATGGTGCCAAGAGTGCCCAGGTGCCATCTACTTTCAGGTGTTAAATACTGTATGGCGGTTTGACCGCTTACCTGGGGTTTGCCGGGTGGTGCCTCCATTACCTCAGCCATAAAGCCTAAAGCTCCTCCTTAGTAGCAACCGTAAGCTCTCCTGAGTGAAACTCTGTACGGCAGGGATAGCACATTCTTCTAAGAACATCATGCTCTGCTCTGTACTGCCTGACTCAGCTTCCAGTTCCCTGGCCAAGGTAGTGGAGGCATGGATATGTACTCTGAGGGCTCAAGATAAGAATTTAAAGGACCACTATAGTGCCAGGAAAACACTTGTTTTCCTGGCACTATAGTGCCCTGAGGGTGCCCCCACCCTCAGGGTCTCCCTCCCGCTCGGCTCTGGAAGGGGGAAAGGGTTAAAACGTACCTTTTTTCCAGCGCCGGACGGGGAGCTCTCCTCCTCCTCTCTGCCTCTTCGGCTGAATTTGCATGCGTGGCAAGAGCTGTGCTCGCATTCAGCCGGTCTCATAGGAAAGCATTTACAATGATTTCCTATGGACGCTTGTGTCTTCTCACTGATTTTCACAGTGAGAATCACGCAAGCGCCTCTAGCGGCTGTCAATGAGAGGGGTTAACCCTAGAGGGACCTGGCACCCAGACCACTTCATTAAGCTGAAGTGGTCTGGGTGCCTAGAGTGGTCCTTTAAACCATTCTAAAATGGCTTGCAATGGGGGGAGTCAATGCACTCCTGGGACTATAACCACTTAGCATATTGCATTAAAAACAAGAAATAAAGAAGCAAAATGATTATTCTTTTGAAATTTACTTAAAGGACCACTCTAGGCACCCAGACCACTTCAGCTTAATGAAGTGGTCTGGGTGCCTGGTCCTTCTAGGGTTAACCCATTTTTTTTTTTATAAACATAGCAGTTTCAGAGAAACTGCTATGTTTATGAATGTGTTAAGCCTTCCCCCTATTTCCTCTAGTGGCTGTCTCATTGACAGCCACTAGAGGCGCTTGCGTGCTTCTCACTGTGATTTTCACAGTGAGAGCACGCAAGCGTCCATAGGAAAGCATTGTAAATGCTTTCCTATGCGACGGGCTGAATGCGCGCGCAGCTCTTGCCGCGCGTGCGCATTCAGCCCAGGAGGAGGATAGGAGGAGGAGAGCTCCCCGCCCAGCGCTGGAAAAAGGTAAGTTTTTAACCCTTTCCCCCTTCCAGAGCCGGGCGGGAGGGGGTCCCTGAGGGTGGGAGCACCCTCAGGGCACTATAGTGCCAGGAAAACGAGTATGTTTTCCTGGCACTTAAGTGGTCCTTTAACGTTTTTTTTTATTTTTATTTTTTTTATTATACAACAAAATATAAGCTATATGAATGAGCTACAAAATAAATAAAAACACACACCTCTCAAAATAAACAAATCTATCAGGAGAATCATGCATCTTAATCTATCCACAACTAGCGACTGAGTGCTGGCCACTGAATTGGTTGCCAGACAATCATTAGGGTCTGATCACACGTTTGGGATATGGTTTCCTGGCAAACGTAAAGTGATTCTTTACACAATGCGAAGACAAAAAGGATAAATGGATAATAAAAAGGTCAGGGATTTTAAAATGTAACTAGATTTCTAGTCTTGACCGTTTTGTCTGCCATTAGGAGCAGAGTTGAATAAGCAACACACAGGTGTTCTTTGAAAATATAAAAAGGATTCTGTAATAAAACTCCCACTTTCAATTAACAAGCGACATCCTAGATCTAGAAGTAATGAATGAATCATGGGTGTGGAATGCACAGTTACCTGTTTTTCATAGGCAAGGAGTTGGCTGGAGAGTTGCTGTGTCGCCAAACACATTTCATTCTTCAAAGAAAAAATTTTAAAAAAAAATAATTAATTAAACTGTAAATCTAGAGAACTCGTTTAATATGGTGATGCGAAATAGCAAAGTGAATCGTTTTTATTATCATGACAATAAAAACTAAATACATTATAGCTACTATTAAAACAACTGCTGAACTCCTCCATATTATGATTTCTATTCTACGAACACCGTTTTAAAACAAACAACATTTATTGTGCTTAATCCGGTCCCCCTCTTCTATACGGGTCGCACTTCTTACCTATGCTGGAGACTGTGAGAACAAGTGAACCGACATTTATATCTGGTGGTCACCTCTTTTCGGTCTAATATCCACCACTTATGTAAAAATAGTTGAGGAGAAATCTGTTCTATTCGACCAGGGTTTTATTTTAGTTATCTAGGCTGTGGCGCACCTTATACTATCCCCTTCGGTTTCCCAAGTTTCGCGAACCTCTCCATAAACTCCTATTCGTGAGCCGAATGAAAGATCTTTTATACCCTTCGAACGCCGACCACACCTGGCTTGTTAACTTCAAAAGGAACAATTTGTTCAAGTGCTTTCCCTGGGTAGCCGCCATTCGTATAACCGAACACACGTGCCAAAGTGAATGGCGGCCATTTTGTCTCCCAAGTCCACGCGGCGGTACATGGTCGTCAAGTGTCAAGAACTCTTGGATGGCTATGCGATTCCGCAAACTCTGGAGAAGCTTTTACCGCTTCCCGTTCCTCTCCCAGATGAGTTAGGAGAATGCCGTTCGGGAGAAAGGAACTACCGAACAGGGGGTGCGTAGGAATCCCCAAAACTAGACAGGCCACTGCCCCTTTTCTTGTGGAACTATTTTGGGCTACCTCCTCCTGGTCAGAACTTAACCCGAATGGAGATCCAGTTCTATTTGGACAACTTGGGCGCTCAGATCCAGGCTATTCATCAATTTGTGGTGTTGGTTCCTGTATATTTTAGATATGATTTGGGGTTATTTTGTGTAAAATTGTATGGCTTCCTGTAAGAGAGATAATAGAGTTATCCTTTTGACTCAATTATCTAAAAATTCTGAAAAGGTTCTAAATTTCAGTTGTAATTAATGTGCGTTCATTCAGATGGACACGGACTTAAATTTTTAAATCCTTTCATGATGTATTATTTATGGAGGTTTTATGCTAGCCAGGGATTTGTTGTTTTTATGCATAAAAAAAAAAAAAAAAAAAAAAAAAAAAAGAAAACCCCCAAAAAACATTTAATACCCCCTAAGCTGAAACAATCTAATAAGATTTCATTTAAAATTACCAATGTACCCAAAAAAACTACAAACTAAGCCAAAAAAAGAAAAAAATAAATCTCACTTTCTGCTACTGTGCTAACCAGTTTTCATGATCTTTGCCTTCATCGCGACAGTGAGCTGACGAAAAACGGATGTAAATGGGAAGTCTGATTTAGAGGGTGTACCTAGAAACGAGGGCATACCTAGACACGAGGGCAAGGGTTTTATGGAATTGTAGCATGTGATAGGGGTTGAGAGTATTTTACTTACACAAACTAATTTATAACTACCCATTACCAGATGCTTTAGAAAGACTGGTTTAGAAAGACTGGTTAGTCATAATATTCTGTGGATCCCAGACACCTTTTATTGTAAAAACATATTACGTTTCTAGTAAGATACTATGGTAGAAAAGCAAGGACAGAGGGATCTGTGAACCAAAGAGGGACTGTCAGTTCTAAAGAGGGTCACTTGGGAAGTATGCCACATCAAACAAACCAGAAAGGAAGTTCTGAGGGATCATGTTAACACACTAGCAGAATGAACAGTGTAATATAGTGGGGTTTTTAAGCTGATAATACTATGGATACATTATTGAGTGTACATGAGTGAATGGAGCAGATACTGCATTCAGCTAAATATCTCGCTGGGGTAAAAGCTTACCTGTGCCCCGTAGACCCGTTGCATGGTCTGGAGTAACTGGTTTGTGTAATCAGTCAGTGTTCCAGCATCTTCCTCAAATACACTCAGCAGGGACCGAGTCTGCAGTAAAAAAGAAAAAGGGGGAAATATTAAAGCAGTATTGACGCTCTTAGTCACCATCCATCTACACACAAACAAGAATAAGAATAAGCAGGGCCAGGGAAAGCGTTTAGTACAGGCAGCATCAAAAGCCAAAAGGTACCGTGTCAGGAATGTTTAAGAAAAATCCTCAGCGTGCCAAATCCTGTGCGAGAACAGAAATTGCTATGGAGTTCGGACCGTCCGTCTAAATAGCATTGGTGATTTTGTTAATTATTTTTATTTAACACTATGAATCTGAACACAATAAGTGAAAATAAAAATACTGGCATCGTTGTTGCACATGTCATAGCATTACACTGTAATAAATGTGCTAAACAAACTGTCTTAGTTGTAGATAAACTACGTATAACAATGTGAGTTCAAGTTTCAGACATACAAGTAAAAAAAAAATTAAAAAAAAAAAAAAAATTATTGCACGGTATCTAGCAATACCATCTATCAATAATCTAATGTGAACCGCCCAACACCAAAAACTCAAAAAAAATAAAGAAAAACCAAGGAGAGAAAAGTAAAACCATTAATAGGGCAAGATGAGTAATAAGTGAAAAGGGGAAGGGGGAGCAAAATTGCCGAAGAAGAAAAAAAGGTTTTATGTGGTTCTTGTGCACTGTACACATTACTAAAAAAATAAAAAAAATGCTTCAATCAACTCTTTTATTTTATCTTATTTTCAGTCTGTTTGTAACACTGGGGAATAGTGATGTCCCGAACGGTTCGCCACAGACTCATCATTGAGTAAACTTTGACCCTGTACCTCACAGTCAGCAGACACATTCCAGCCAATCAGCAGCAGACCCTCCCTCCCAGACCCTCCCACCTCCTGGACAGCATTCATTTTACAATCATTGTGAAGCTGCATTCTTAGTGAGCTGTCCAGGAGGTGGGAGGGTCTGGGAGGGAGGGTCTGCTGCTGATTGGCTGGAATGTGTCTGCCGACTGTGAGGTACAGGGTCAAAGTTTACTCAATGATGAGTCCGCGGCGAACCGTTCGGGACATCACTACTGGGGAATGGTTACCAGAGTTGTTGTATCATCACATTAGGGCCTATCCATAACACGTAAACTGAGCTTTTTAAGTCTGCTAGGGCCATCAAGCAGAACGTCAATAGAACAAGAGAAAAAATAAAGAATAAAACAAATTGCAAAGCAGTGTTCCCACCCCCTCCAAATCCATTTTGTTTCTTTAACAGGGACTAAAATATCATACTTTATACTGTAATTAATGAATTCTTATTAAATGGCTAATGCAACCTTCACATTAGCCAAGCTACAGCAGAGGATCAGACTTGACTGACGGTGCGAGGAAAACCCTGTTTTTTGTCAAACCACTTGAAAACAGATTGACAAAAATCAGGAAGGCAGTGCCCAACATACAACACCGTACCCACAACAAAGAAATTTAGTAGTTCCGGTTATTAGAATGCTACTTAAAATAGTCACTTCACAAATCCCTGCTTAGATTAAAAAAAAAAAAAAAAAAATTTTTTTTTTTTTATATATACACACACACACACACACACACATACATAATTTGTATAAACAGAGAGCTCTAGCATATCTGTTTGAATAATGTGAAACAGAATTCCCAGCAAAGACTGAGTATTTTTTTTTTTTTTTTAGAACAGACTTACTCATGAACTCATCACATGATTCCCAAACACTTAGATCATTATTCATCACAACAAGAATACTTTCCAACAGACATTAACCTGATAAAATAAGTTTACAATGCACATGATTGGATTAAAAACAAAATCCTACGTGAACTGTTTAAGTTCTGAGGGTTCGCAGAGATGAGACAGATATAAAAATGCCAAATATGAAAGGTTAGTAGGTTCCATAGTGTTTATATGTGTGCCATGTCTGGAAGTACGGTCTGAGGAGAAAAACAAAACAACCGGAAATTTCTTAAATTTTACTGTAGGGCTAATAATATGGGAAGCCAAGGTAATAAACTCCAATATTTTCCACTATAAACTCATCTGTTACTTCAGAAACTTGAAAATGCAAACAGTAACTCTAGGTAGCTCAGATCTTGCCAAATTCAAAGCAAAATCTGTTGAAATCCACATATTTTTATGGAACAACGGCAGTGCTCAACAAAGACAAGGCTGTACAACCGTCGGACCCAGCTCCAAGAATCTGTCTAATTTTCAATCTGGAGGGATAAACTTACTAAATAACTAAATAAACCCTCATAGTTTAAAGGCAGCATTGACTCAAAAGTACAAGGAAGGATGTTGGGACACACCCACAATGCCATGAGCCAGGAAACCAAGCTAGAGAGGCTTCTAGGACTAGCCAGGCCAGATTGGCCTACAGATGCAATTTTGAATAGGCAGCAGTAGACTGGCAATTTTTGTATTTGTCAAATTAAAAGGGACACTAAGCACCAAAGCAACTTTAGCTTAAAGCAGTTTTGGTGTATAGATCCTGCCCCTGCAGTTTCTTTGCTAAAAAGTCTCCGTCATTTAAGAGTTACAAAAAACACATTTATGTCGGTTTATGCAGCCGTAGCCACACCTCCTTGCATGGAAAAATGGTTTAATTTTCCAATCAGATCAGAGCAGTGCAATAAAGTTAAAACATTAGATCTCCCTTTGCAGGAAGTGTGTAGAGAGACAGTGTAAGTTACTTGCAGGGGGGTGTGTCTAGGGCTGTATAAACAAAGTGATTTAACTCATTAATGGCAGAGAATTGAGACTGCAGGGGCATTATTTATAAACCAAAACGGCTTTATTAAACTATATAGTTTTGGTGTAAATAGTTTCCCTATATTAATGTAAAGGGGTGAGGAAGCAGACTGTGAAAAACAACCAAACACAGAGTCAATAACAAAATACAATGCAACAGTAATCCCTTCAAATGTTTTTCCAATGTACACAAAAACACACACACAGAATTAGGTAAGACTTTTACCTCAATCAACAAGCCTTACAAAAAGTACACGGTGTACCTGTAAAACACACGAGAAGGGTGCATCACTTCTAATCAAAGATACATTTGGAAGCTGTAACAGAGTATTATAGGCTTTATGCAAGTTTTAAAGAGTTACATATGTATTTTGTCAAGTTCCATTTTACTGGTTTGATTTTGCTGAACAGAGTGATTCATTAAATTGTGAATTGAAAATTTTTAGGCCAGATTAGAAACTGAAATCATAGAAGTCTTGGAATATTTTTCCCAATTTGACTACTGTGGCCTAAAATTTAAAATTCAAATTTTTAAATTAATAAATCGTATCTGTGCTATAATTATTGCATCTTGCATTGATGATTTAAAAAAAATAATAAACCTGTAAATGAAACAAAATCTCCAGTCAAAAGCTAGAAATGGTTTGACAAAGGCCTTGGGAACTACACACTTACTGCACCATAACCACTTCAAGGAGTTGGTTCTGATGCCGATAGCTTCTCTTTGAAGAAGTATAGGATTTTTACTGCAGTGGCAGATTACAGAACCTGTAGTTCTCCCCAAATATAAACACTATATAAAATCCATAACTAGTCTACCTATACTCTGTCCTGTGCTAAATATATTTGCACACCACACCTCCCAGAGTGACACACTGTGTGCTTGTTCTAGACGATTTTACAATCTGTGCTCTTAGCAGCAGGTGTCTGTATATTTATGAGATTTCACGGCATACAGAATATAATCCATTGTATGCAAATTTTGCTGCTAGCTCTGCGCACAGAATTACAAGGCACAGTTTGTAACATGATGCAATTTTGTTGAGCATGGTCATGAAATCACAAAATAGGACACAACATACCCACCATGAGAAGAAAAACAAAACACAAATACAAACATTCAGACCAAAAAGGGACATGTCAAAGTCAGGCTGCACACTCTTCCCAAGGTTCTCAAACGTTAGAGGACAACTTCATGGAGTTATGGACCATAGCGGTGAGTTTATCAACTAATACATTTCAGCTATTCCACTTTTTACTTCTGCTATGGAAGGAACTGCAGGGTTTAGCCACCCAGCTGCCAAAGCTCTTTTATGTTCTATGCTCTTCAATGTAATTTTATTAAATAATTTGAGATTGTTGAAGAAAATTCCTAGTGCCTAGAAGGCAGAAAAACCCAATGGGTCTAATTTCATTGGCCTAGGAAAATTTGATACCTTCCCTGTAGTTTTCCTTGTGTAATACAGCTTTAGAAGGGCTATATGCCATCACATGGGGATCGTGAACATTTACCAATGTAAACTCACACAGACACCTTGCAGGCTACTTAACACATATCTTCTGATGTCTCCCCTCTGGCACTTCCTCCTGCAATTTGATTGTTTAGCCACAAAACAGGTCTCTAGGACATTTTAAAAACACACACTATTTCATGTTTCTACACGTTAGTCCCACATGGGTTTGTGTACACACACAAAAATTGTAGTGAAAAAAAAAAAACATCATCTTAATATAGCAGTTTAACTATAAATAAAAAAAAATAAAAATAAAAAAACATCTAAATTCTGCTTCACTACAATTCACTGTTTAGTTGAACAAACCCCAAAGTGTTTTACTAAAACCTTGGATATAAAAAAATTCTGCTTTCAGACATTATCAACGATTGAGATGCTGAGGTATATTAAAGAACAGTATTCATCTTAATTAAGTGATGATGCATTGATGAGCACTTGTTGCCAATGGCCAACTATGGGGTAGTTCATTTGAACCCCCAATGTATTCTTATAAATATACCACAGGAAAAAAAAAAAAAAAATATTATATATATATATATATATATATATATATATATATATATATATATATATATATATATATATATATATATATATATATATATATCTCTATATCTCTATCTCATGAGAAAATTCAGGTGATGCTGGTTATATCTTGGCTTCATGATCACTATATATTGCTTACAATCACATACACTTCCAATCTACTAGCATCCTACACCTTGACTCCCTCTATATATTTGTCACCACGGTATAGGTCAGTGTTTACGTGTAATTATTTACACAAGTTTTACAAAAGCCATACTTTGTCACTATAGACAGATGTAGGTCAACAGTGAAATAGGGCAGACAAAACCACCAACAATCTGTTTACATTTAAAATATTACTGTAAATAAAAAAATAAATAAATAAAAGTTTTAAATGTCCCTGATAAATGGGGCGATGCTTCTTTCCCATGGCCGCTCCATAATTAAGCTGCCAGGAAAAAGAAGTTAAGACACCAACATATTCAGCACACACAAGGAAAAACAAACATTAAAAAGTAATGTGTACAGAGGTTACATGAGCCAAGAACTAAAATGTAAAAAATTGCTGCAGCTCTAAACAAAGCTGATTCAATTCCTTAATTGTGCCAGCATAGTCCCAATTGTATGTAGGACATGCGCATGTTGCCCACACAAAGTAAAACTCTCCCATGGAGAGAGCAATGCATCAGGCCACCTGTAAACAGCAGCTACTACCACTTTATACACGCAGTCTATGGAGAATTTGGAAAGGGGAGCTAAATTATTTATTCCATAGAACAGAATGGCAGAATTCTGACTGGCAGAGAATCTTCCTGGTCAGGGATTAACCAGTCAGTCATCTTTAAGTAATTTATTTTACTTCTTTTTAATACATTTTAATGTATTATCTATAGAATGGCAGAGGGAAGGTTGCAATTTTTTTCTCCTTTAACCCCTTAAGGACACATGACATATCAGGATTCCCTTTTATTCCAGAAGTTTGGTCCTTACGGGGTTAAAGTCCATCAATCAGCAGGTGAAGGTATCCTATGGTCTGAACACTTTTTCCTTTAAAACTATTAAGAGATGATGAGAGATCTGTGGAAATCCCTGGCTCCCATGAACCGATTGTCTTTTTGAGATGAATAAAATCTACGCAGTGTATAGAGTCTCTTCTGTGCTCTTTAGAATAAAATAAATAAATGGAGGACCCAAAAA